TATGTGTATTTGAGCATGTGGGCATATGTGGGTATGTGTATGTTGGTTTGTGGGGGTGTCTGTGTATGTGTGTATGTGTATTTGTGTATGTGGGCATATGTGGATGTGTGTCTGTGGGTCTGTGGGGGTGTCTGTGTATGTGTATTTGTACATGTGGGTGTATGTGGGTGTGTGAGTCTGTGGGGGGGGTGTGTGGGTGTATGTACGTGGGGTGTGTGTGGGCGTGTATGCACGTATAAGCATATCCACATCTCCCACTGGCTCTGTTACTCTGAAGAGCCCCGACCTTGCACCAGCATCCCCAGGCATGGCTTACCCTGGCAGTACCCAAGACCATGGGGGGATGGTACATGGGATGTGGTTGGAGGGTGAATTCCATGAAATGCTGACCTCTGTGTGATCGTCCCAACTACGCCCTCTTCCTTGAACACAGACACATCCCTCCAGTTTACTTCCCACTCTGAGGTCTCGTTCCCAGTCACTGGGGGTCAGCCTGGGACCCACCTCTGTGCTAACGGCCCCCCTCCCCTACCCGACTCTCTCCATCTCAAAGTTAGAGTCCAGGGGAGCCGTTCCTGACGGCCCCAAGAGATGCGCCCTTTACCTCCCAAGTCCCTGTGGAGTGCCTGTGGCTGTTTCTCTCTCTTAACCCCCAGCGCTGATCAGAAGGCATCGAGGGAGGTGTCAGTGAAAAGAGGGTGGCCTCACTATCCCAGCATTCATGATGACCTCCCAGCAGGTGGGGAGAAATAAAATGTCACCGGGTAACACCGGTGAACTGACCCTGCCTATGTTAGCTGCTACCCGGATGTGCTGTCCCTCTGCAGGCACGTCTGTCCCGCCTGCCCCGAAACTGCTGCTCCGTCAGGCTCTAGCTGACCACAGGTTTCATGAATACCAGAGTACGCAGCAGAGGCTTCCAGAGGAGGGGGTACCCGCTGCCCAGTAACTCGGCAGCACAGGGACCCTGACGAGGGAGAGCAAGAAGACAAAGGAGGTGTCCACACTTGCCCTGCCCCCCACCATCTCCCAGAAAAGGAAGGGAGCACATCATGCTCCTCGTTTGAGCAGAAAAAGCAGAAAAGGACACTGGGGTTTCCATTGCTGCTGAGCCCAGAACCGAAAATAGCTCCTGTGATGAAACCACATCTCCTTTACACAAGCCACGGCTCCCCTGGACTCTAACTTTGAGATGGAGAGAGTCGGGTAGGGGAGGGGGGCCGTTAGCACAGAGGTGGGTCCCAGGCTGACCCCCAGTGACTGGGAACGAGACCTCAGAGTGGGAAGTAAACTGGAGGGATGTGTCTGTGTTCAAGGAAGAGGGCGTAGTTGGGACAAAATTTACAAGGACGAGAAAGAATGATTCTGAGAGGCCTGTAGGCACTTCCAGGCACCATCCCACTCTCAGTGTGTGTCCAGGGGCGCGTGTGACACGGAAGATGTAACCATGTCCCCCCGGGGGACTCACTCCCCTCCTACCTTTTGTAGGATGAGCTCCTTGCTGATGCCGGTGCTCAAAGAAACGCTGTCAACAACATGGACCCTAACATGTTCCAACGACTCTCGCATACCACACACATACACGCACACACACACACACGCACACACATACACTCACACACATACACACACACACACTCACAAGTGCTCTGTGCTTCACGGGTGATTTAAGGGATTTTCTAGGGTCATGTTGTCACGATGGGGGTTTCCACTTCTGCCCGCCCCCCCTCCCCTCCCCTCCAGCAGGGTGACATCCTGGTGTTCTCGCCCTGGGTGACCCACGCAAGGACACAGGGCTCACCTGCAGGCAATGTGGAGAACTCCACGAAGGCCTCCTTCTTCTCCCTCTGCTCCAGTGGGAGCTGCCACGGCATCTGGTGGGGCTTGGCCAGAACCTTCACCTTGTACGCCATGTTTGGCCTGAGGTTGAAGAACTGGTACTTGTACCTGGCGGCCTTGACAATGTCGAACTCCTCCTCGTTGAGGAAGATGACATGGCTGTAGTTGCTGTTGGTGGGCAGCCAGGAGAGCTGGGCGGAGATCTGCGTGATGTTGTCCACCCGCAGGTGGGACGGGGCCACCACCACATCCTTGCCCACCAGCAGCGTGCACTGCAGCTCGTCTGAGCTGCCCCTGCTGGTGACACACTGCACGGAGATCCGGTAGGTGCAGGCCGCCATGTTGAGCTTCTCGATGAGGGCCTTAGTTCTGCTCCCCAGCGTGAGGCTCATGCGCGTCTCCTTGTCCACCAGGACGTTGTAGCTGCTCACGGTTCCCCATCCCGGTGGCACCGCCGGGGGCTCCCAGCCCACAATGACACTTTTGGCGAGTTGTTTGATGAGGGTGATTTTTCTGGGGTAAGGCACGATGTCTTCTCCGATGTCGTCGATGTTCACATCCAGCGTCCCGGCCCCGTCGTCGGTGATGCCCGCGTCCACGTGGGTCGGGGAGTGGAGGTCCAGGATGTGCTCTCCCTGCAGGCCAATGCCGGAATGGTTGATGAAGTTCTGGTCCTGCTCGCTCCCCAGCGTGCTTGCCAACCGAGACTCGTTGTCCTGCACAAAGTCCACAAAGTTGGAGGGCACCAGGCCCCTCTGGCCATCCAGGAGCTCTCCTGTTGGGTACAAGGACAGAGTTATCACCCAGCCTACACAGCAGGGGCCCCAAGGCCTCCAGCATACTCCCACCTCCCCTACCAGGACCCTAAGGCAGAGCAACAGGGTTGCCCTGGGGCTCCTCTGCTGTTCCCAGGAGCCCACACCGGGGCCAGCTCCACACCAGCCATCTAAAGAGCCAGCCCCCCCATCCCCGTGGCCCAGTCTGGATTTCTCCATGACACTTATCGCAACCTGAAACCATCATGCTTGTGTATCCGTGTACGGACACTGACTACCCCCTCCCAGCTTGGATAACACTCGGGGACAGCAGGGACCTCAGGACCACTGAATACCCAGCCCTCAGGTGACAGCTGGCCCACAACAGTGCACAGGAAATATCTGTTAGAAGGACAAGTCAGTCGACTCAGTGGTTTTTGGAGATTAAGAAAATAAACATCTTACTATGATTTTTGATTAAGAATGAAAAGGTGACTTCTGGTTCCCCTTGAAAAGCACTGGGCACAACCTAATCAATCCACGATATGTCCAACTTGATGCGAAACAAAACTATCAATTTGGGGTCCGGGTCACGCGTGGCAAAGAAAAAAAAATGTCAAAGTAGCTCTTGTGGCTGAGTGGACATAGTGGGGACGGCCGTGTTTTGTGAAAGTCTAACTTCTGTGTGCTCTCTTTGTTAGTAGGGCTCACAAGGCTGCTGATGGCAGAGGGCCAGAAAACGGAGAAGCGTTTAGAGGAGCTTGAGAGATGGGGCAGTTGGGGTGATCTTCCAGCACAGACTGAGAATGGACCATCTCTCCCAGTTCATCACAGGTGCCCATAGACCCGCAGAGAGGGGCTGGGAAATGCTCAACACTAGATTCTGCTCCCAAAAGACCCCCTGCCTCAGGGGAGCCTGTGATGTGCTGTGGCCCAGGGGAGGCCATGTCAGCCATTTAATTAGTCCTGGATTCTAACAAAATAGAGGAGGAGGACATGGATTCTGTTCCAAACCTCCACCTAGGGCGTGGGTCTGGCAGCAGCCAATCCTTTGCACTGAGGATATCCTCAGTTTGGCATAGGAGATGGCGGTGATGATTGGTGGTGGTGGTGGCTGGTGGTGGTGACAGTGGTGGTGGTAATGACAGTGGTGATGACGGTGGTGATGGTGGTGGTGACGACGGTGGTGACGGTGGTGGTGGTGGTGGTG